TTCCGCCGCATCCGACCGTAAATTACGAAACTAAAGAAAACAATTTCTCGGGAGGGATAAAAAGAACAAAGCAAACATAAAAACGGGAGGGGGGGGGGGGCTTACACAGACTAAAGTTTTAATACCGTCTTTGCACCGATGGGGTTGGTTAATGATTTAAATTTTAATACATCGTAGTGAGCCGTTCGTTCAGGGGCGTACGTGCGACGGCTCAGGTCGGTCCCACGGGAGGGACCGGAAATTGTGCGAGATATTATGCGAGCCGCCCCCGCCCCGCCGCCGCCCCCGGTGGGTCCGGGATTGAGCCATTGTTGCAGTGTCGTGTCGGCCTGACAGTGGAAAACACGCCAAGCCAAGATGTAAGCGCGGTGTATTTCTCTTTTTATGAAATATAGATTAAGGAAGTTTTGGGATGTTCGGTGGTCGGGTCACCGGGAGAATGACGCGGAATGTCGTGTCCGGAACGCAATCGATAAGCGTGGCGGAGGGTGTATCTAATTACGACCGGTTTTTTTATTTTATTTTTTTCAGTTTTTTTTCATGAAATCGGTTGAAGACTTTCTAATACTTCAAACTTTCAAAGAATAAGGAAAATATTAAATATTTATTTGTTATGTAATACAATACATACGAGTATTATTACTAGTATACAGGGTGTTCCTAAATAAGTGTCGCAACGGAAAACTGTAAATTCCTCTTGAAAAGACAAACATTTTTTTTCCTCTTCCATTTTTCTCTCCGGGCTTTCGTTTTCGAGATACACTTTTTTTCAGATTTTTGCCAATATCTTAGGAACCGCTTGAACTACAGGACAGAGCTTTTGTATACACATTACCACTATTAATAGCTACTTGTTACAAGTGTTGTTAAATTTCGTTAAAATTGTTAATTATTACTATCTATCTTTTGAATTACAAAAGATTTTCGAAACGTTAGCAAAATGCTTGTTTTTGTTCATAAAAAGTAATTTTTATTGAAAACGGTTGACTTTAGAGCAATGAACCAAGAGAGTCAAATATAAATTTGTCCAGTGGCGTAAAAGTTAGGGGGCGGAATTCGAGAAGGGTGCGAAAAAGTTAGTATTAATAGTAGTAATGTGTGTACAAAAACTCAGTCCAGTAGTTCAAACGGTTCCTAAGATATTGGCAAAAATTTTTTTAAAAATGAAAGTTTTGACACCGTGTATCTCGAAAACGAAAGCCTGAAGAGAAAAATGGAAGAGGAAAAGAATATTTCTTTTTTCAAGAGGAATTTACAGTTTTCCGTTGCGACACTTATTTAGGAACACCCTGTATATCCATCACTTTTGAAAAATCCAAAAACGAATAATCAAATTCTAGACACACACTTCTAAAAAATAAATGTATTCCCTAAAATTAAATATTACTACGCTACTTAATGCGCACCCATAAAGAGTTAACGGAACACGTAAAGCAGAACAGCATCAGCCATTACTGTGCATGCATAGTGTGAATATGTACTGTTATGGATAGTTTATTGATAATAATACTAAAAACAAAACAGAAGAACATAAACTATGAAAAAATAGAGAAAAAAAAATAGTACAAACTTACAAATAACACAGATATAAAGAACAAAATAAAAAGGCAACTCAATTTTAATAAAACACTCACTCTAATCTTTCAACATTGCATTATTGTGTTGAAAGAATGAGCCAGTCGAATTAGTACGTTCATTTGTCACAAATTTCTGAAGCAACCAGTCCAATTTACTTGTACCGACAGCTCTCAATTTTTTTTGGCAGTAATAGCCCAATTTTATTGTCGTTATCTGCACATCTAAAAACTGGATTTTGTACTTGGAATACAATTTCTTTTCTAAATTAATTCTAATTAGATTTTGTTAGAAACAAATCCTGCTCAGAACTAAGAAAAACTATGAAAGTAATATTCTTAGAAGTTCCCATTTTAATTAGATTTTTTAAACGCTAAGCTCTAACGTATAAATTATGAAATTCACCAGAAATTTTGAAGTATTTTAAACTCAGGGTAAGCCCATTAAAAGTTTTGTTATAATCTTGAACACAGAACACTTCGTATTTTGATTGATGTACTTATATTAAATTTATTACGCCAAGCTGTCTGAATATTTCGAAGGAGGTCCGAATTACAGCCTGAAGCCGTTTTGAGCGTTCCTAAACTGACACTGCCAGATTACTAATTGTTAACTTCGCTCAATTACAGGAAGTGGTAAAATTTATAATTTTTCCAGTTCTGGGGTCCCCAATCTAATTGTATTGTAAGAAAAGCAAATGGAACAGTGGATCCTTCCACTAATGAAATATTTACGCGTTTTGGAAAGTGTTTTAGGATGAATGACATGAACATAGCGCTTCCTGGAGGCACCACTGTGAGGAATAGCAGGGGCCCCGACTTGAAAAAATTGGATGTCGGATCTAAATTTTCAAAAGGTCAAACATATATAGAATATAACTAACATATAGAATATAACTACTACAAGTCTTGCATTTGCTACATGATTTTTGTGGCAGAAAGTAATATAATATTAAAAATAAAATAGCTACCTAACATGTTTGTCGTCGAAAATTAAGTTACACCTGATGTTAAAACGTTTTAGAACACCAAAAATGTATCTCAAAACAAGGTCAAACGTCACAAATTGTCGAACTTTAATAATATCATGCGGTATAATATAACTTGGTCTTCGTTTATAAGTAAAATTGTATTATCTTTTTGTTTAATTTGAAGAATCTAAAATAAAAAATATATCTGTTGTTAACCTACGCTTGTTGTCTCGAGACCTCACCATTCTATTTTTACCAGGGACTGAACACCTCTTTTTAGATAGAAATCAATAGACATACAAACATCCAACGAATTCCACACGTACGTTGTATTTAAAACAAGTCCCAGGCATCTCCTTTCCGGAGTTTGCCTAAACCAAAACTTCCGGTATGGTTCCCGAAGGTTCTATTTAGACACATGTCTCGGCGCGACGTCTCTCGGAGGAGAGCAAGATATACAATTCCCGGCATGAGGGAACATTAAGACCTGACTTATAAAGATATTCCGTGACATTTCCATGCAAGCCCTAACGAGCCGAATACGCAGAAAAAGGGTCGGTGTATGAAATATGTAGGTATGTCGCGTAGAATGGGAACATTTCTGTTATTAAAGGGAGAATTTATGGATATTTTATCAAAATTCGGTAAACAAAAAAAGTGACATCAACTTTATTTTATGATAACTAAAATTATCCATTTTTTATGAACATTTTTTGTGCAGAAATGTTTTCTCTATCTCTTCTCCTTAAAAAGTTACAGTAACAAACATACAAAAATGTATTCTATTCTATTGGAACTAGTCATGACTTAATCAACATTACTGTGAAAAACAATCGCTGTAACTCCTGTCACAGGTTTGTTTACATATTAGTTGCTATGTCCTTCTTAAAAAAGGTCACTCCAAGAAAAAAATTAGAACAATACACATAATGACGGAAGTAAATAGGAAAGTATTTTTTAAATAGTCTGTAACTCTTTTAGCCTTATGTGGAGGAGCACCATCGTGTTGCAACCACTTATCTTGTCAAATTTTTCATACTGTGCCCCTGTTTATTATCCACGTATTGATGTCTTAAACAAAAACAGAATACAGATGTCAGAATTCATGTCTAAGGTACGTATTTGGCATCGACGCAGAAGTCACATTTCTCATAAATTACAGGATTTGAAATGGTTAAATATGAATAATCGTCAGAGATTACAAACTCTGAGCCTAATCATCAAATAATTTGTACAAAAACTCCCTCGTATTTGTATAACAAAATTCGATTTCGTACTGATATAATAAAAACATTAGAACTAACCATTTTATAACACCACCTTCACATAAAACTAGCTTCTACGAATGATCATTTACTTATAACATTTCAAAACTTTACAATGCACTGCCAGATGACTTTAAAACATTGTCTTCAAAGAATTTTAAAACCAAAGTTTCAGAATACTTATTTAGTAATCAGTGAGCAACTATATTTTTGCTAATTCTAGGTTATCTTACATTGCCAAATTGTTTTTCTTATTTGTTGTCCCTGTTCTTGGCTACTACTGTTGTAATATTTTAAGTTAGTTAATTACTTACATTAGGCTATACTTTATTGTAAATATCTATCTGATATACTAGGTAAGTGCATCATATCGAGAGATGGAGCTTGCTCTATCTGCTTGAGCACAGCCTAGAGGTTTTCCTACACTTTCAATACCAGTAGTGACAAAATTTCTGCACAAAAACTGTTCATAAAAAATAAATAATTTTAGTTATCATAAAAAATGGGTAAATACATTTTTTTTATTTTCTGAATCTCGAAAAAAAGGTATTTTTTAAACTTTAAAACGGACCTTAGCGAGTCCCGATTCACGCCTTCTAAACATAACCCAACTTTTGGAGATTTACCTGCTGTTAAATCTATTAAAATATTTTTAAGTCACCTTCTAACATTTCAAAAAATTGTAATTATGTCAAAAACTCATAGACTGTCCTAACAATATTAAAAGATCTTGTTCTTAATTATGTGAAAACACACCGCAAAAATTGGAATTGTGTTCCAAACCGCCCTTTTTTTTTTAATTTACTTAATTTCAGAACCGTAGTGGAAAATCCGTCATTTACTTATTTGTAGAAATATTCATTCATTATACGAGTGCGTGAAAATGGAGAATTAGAGGAGGAATCACTAATGACCGCATTTGGCGGCGGCGCCGGGGTATAATCCATCGATTTTTACATAAGCAGGTTGAGAATTATGCGGATTTATGACAGGCATAAAGGTATTATTTAGAAAATTACGCTAAAACAGGAACGAAATTATTACGCTATTAATACGTTGAAAACGAGCACCGCCGCTATATTTATTGCGAGGTTGGTAAGGTAGACACGCGTAAGGTTTACGGTCAACATTGATTTGTTACAAGGTACGTGAAATTATTAACAAACACCTACTTCACTTCACCGACTTACCCTAGGATTTAACTAGTAGAACATCTCAAACTTCAGAGACTGAAAATCCCGGGATGGGATCTAGTAATCTGAAACAAAAGGAGGTGTGTTAGTCCGGGCAACTGATCAGTAATTAACATTATGAAATTATACAAAACTTATTTTTGTTTTGAATTATTTAGCTTTAAATTTTATATTTTCTATAATTGCTAATACTTAGAGACATAGTCTTTCCGATCTCTATTGAAGACCAAAGAGCTAGGCAATGAGTACCAGGCTCGGTCGCTACACAGCAACTCGGCAAATAAGAACGTTTTTGAAAATTTACTAAATGATCCCATTGGGAGGATATTATAATTTTAAGGGTGATTTTTATACAAATTAAGTGAAAAAAAGGTGAAAATCCGTACATTTTTTCAAGCACGCGTCACAATTTTCACAATTTTACCCGCAATGCGGTTCATATTCTTAGAAAAATTGTCTGTTGCGACCACCACACTAATCTAAGGCAACGATGTTGATAACGCTCTTAAATCTTGTTACTTAAACTGGTTTCCTTAGTCGACAGTATGCGTAAGGAGAGTACGAAGCGTTCTATCGAGTTCACAAGGAATGCTTTGACTACTACAGGAAGGAATCTCTGTCTACTTAGTGTTGCACATGTTATTACTGTCGTTGTTCCTGCTGCTGCTGGTGTTGTTGTTGTCGTTGTTGTTGTTGTAGCTGTTGCTGTTGCAGAGCAATAGCGTCAATAACAACGACGACAACAGCAGTGATAACTACAACAACTACTACTGCACTACTACTACTACTTCAACAACAACGACAAAAGCGGTAAATGTAGTTCAAAATATTGATAATGTCAAATCTTGTCCTACTCAAAAAAATTCATGAGAAACGCTTGAAACTGATTTATCTCGAATTTCCATATCCGATTTATTATTTCTGTGTTATAAAACTTTTTGTTACTCTCAAATCTATTGTCCGTCATCGCAGTGCGGACTAATGGCCCCTAAAAAACTCATAAAACTGAAACGAATCCGACGAAAAGGACTTTGATGGCTGTATCAGATAGACCCGTGATTAATACGTCCCTTGTACGGACGGCAACTAGCAAATAGGACCGTGGTGACATCATGCTCCCTAATTCGCGCCAGAGACCATTTACGATATTATACCATGTCCTAATTAAAAGCTGATTTCATCAGGTCCTTTGACGGATTGCTGTGCGCTATCGCCTCTGGGTCTTTCTCTCGCTTTGGATGTCTCCTCGTTAAATCCGAAAACCCCACAATGACGGCTTTTATGCGGTTTTCTATTTTCGCTTTACGCAAAAGGAGTTTGTGTTGGCGTGCATGGAATATGGGATATTTCGGCGCGAGCGATTAGTATTAAAACGGGTTCGGGGTGGAATTTGCATCCCGGTTTGAATGAATAAATTAGGGGGTGTTTTGGGCAGATTTGAAGCGTTTTGGTGCATCTAGCCGGACCCTAGTCAAGTCGCTTAATCTAATTAAAAATTTTCGTAATATAAGAAACCAATATATATATATTCTAACCCATATGTTTGAATAGGGCAAAGTTCACTACAAGCGACAAACATTGTTGTCACATTAAATTCTTAAACTTCTCTATCTTTTAAAATAATTCGATACTATTAAAATATAACAACATAAAACTTGCAATACCTATTGAGGATTAGTATTAGTAAGACACACGGCAAGTTCTTGGTATTAAACGGATAAAATTGTAGGCGTAAATAATTTGCTACGTCATTTTAAATGCCTTTCTATCTAGCAATTTATCCGTTAGTGAGGAGCTACATATCTCCATATCAGTTGACCATGGTATTTTAATTAAAAAACTTAACTATTTTGGTTTTAGTGAAGCCTTACTAGACAGCAGTATGTCATCAATCTGATTACTTTTTAGCTACGTCTGGAGTTCCCCAGAGAACAAACCTTGGGCCATTGCTACTTTTACCACTTATGACTTATTATTTATAATAGAATGTAAACATCCGATTTCTTGCTGATGTTCTTAAGTTGTTCATAAAGATTGAGACTCTATCCACGACTGCCCCCTAATTCAAAAACAGCTGGAAAAAATAGGGGTACCTATGGTGTAACATAAATAACTTAACCATGAACGTTTCTAAGCGTAAAGCTTTAACATTTATGTATTAGTAATTCCCTATTGTATTTGATTATACCTTTAATGTCCAAATATTAGAGAGATCTAATACCATTAAAGGCCTTGGTGTTTATGTCGACATGGAATTGTCATTTTCCTCTCACATTGAATATTGTGCAAAACCATACTTATCGTATCAACTTCAACGTCAACGTGGGTGTTATATAATAATGAAAACGTAATATTGACAGTTGGTAGAAGGAAGCGCAAAAACAAACGCTGAGGTTGGGAATTCTGGAAGGAATCCTAGATAGTTTTGGAGAGAGAGAGAGTAGTGCGGAGTGGAAAGTAAGATGATCGGAGTACAGTAATATATAAAAGTAGTGAAAAATCAAAGTGTTTAACAGGTAATTATTCTCTAAGTACTTTGTTGTTAATTGTTCTATGTAATCTTATGATTGTGATAGTTATAGATGTTTCATGATAATAATTCTTTGTATGTTTAGCTTCAATTGCTTTATGTTCAAGGGCATATATTTTTCTGAGGTAAAATTATTACAATTATTATTAGCGATTGCTCATCATTTATTACATGTTAAAATATGTATATATTGTCGTGACTGCCCAGATATTGCAATAACAACTCCTTTGTTTCACATTCAACTTGTTTTATCATGATTACGTTGTTCGAAAATCTAATAATAAAGCATTTCTTGTACTCACTACGCATATAAGAGCCTTGTTGAATTTATTAACATTTTCTCCCGTGAGGAATGAATCTGTAAAAAGAATAATTAAATACAAAAAAAAGAATTGCTAAAACAGATCTTCCGAAATCCCAACTCATAGCTTGATTGCCTCCCATATCGGACTCCAGTACCTTCTGGCCCTGCCGGCTAACTAACACCAAACCTCTTCAGTTTTACTTGGAAGTGTGTATGTTGAATTTGAGTGAGGTGACATTTAGGGAGAAATTAAATAAGTCGGGTGTTAATTATCATTAGCAAAGGATCTTAATTTATGGCTTTTGTTAGCGGTTGTTTTGTATTTATATTTGGGTAGTTAGAGCAACGATCGTGGGTTTCTCTGCCATGCTCTTTCCCCACAGGAGCTCTAGGTGAGCCTGGCACTCTCATTTTATGTTAAATGGTTGTTAATGTTTTTATTGTTCTTTCTATTTGTCACATGTTTAATTTGAAGACTGTTGTACGTAAATAATAAAGTTAGGTGTATTTACTCTGCTTTTGTTTTATAAAATTAAACCATACTTCCCCTCTTTAAACTTAGTAGCCAGCGCCGTTCGGTCAATTAGAAATGGATTTATACAACGTAGGTATTCCTCATGACGATCACATATTTTTGGCCACAACTACGTTTATATTTTTTTTTTTCGATCGAACCCGGGGTTGTTATACTACATTATGTAACATGCTTTTACATGTAGACGATATTGAAGCGATTCAAAATATTTTTATTCAATAATTTTCTATTTCTTTCCTAGCAATTTAATGTTCTCTACAGAACTGATTGACATTGTTTTTAATTCTAGATCGTCTTTAAATTGGATTTGTCATGTGACAGCTGTTGAAATACGATTTTTCAGAAGCTGTCACTTACATTCGTCGCAATGTAATATTCAACAAAGATCGACACATACGACAGCTAATGAGGCTGCTTCTGTAATTCTGAAACATAGTATTCACAAAAAAAAGAAACTAGCGTAAGGCCCACATTATTTACCCGTTTGTATAAATCCCTACTCCCTTAATGACCTGTTTATTTGTACACAAAGGCCTCTCCAGCCGATTACATTTAAGCGTGATTGTGTGAGGCGTGTGCCGTATACACAGGTTGATGAAAGAAAATGGGGTATTGAGTAAGAATGCCGGCTCCCATTGAAATTTGAAAATCAATAGAACACCGTGCTATACACAAAGGTAAGCCGCTATAAAAAGTACTGCGGGACGGCGAGCGTTCTAAATTATTTCCGAGAAATTGCCAGCAATAAAGAGTGAATAAAAAGTGTTAAGGCAAAGAAAAATAGCGGAAAATCTACTCGGCCGAGTTTGTCGGGTTCTCGCTGTCGCCGACATGCAGCGCGACGAAGTGTTTGGGATAAATAGTTCTTTTTGTAGATCGACTTATAAAAGCTGCTCGCAGCTGCACACCCACGCACTTTCATTTAAAATCGCGTATAAAGTACATACACAGATTTAAGAGAATGATCTAATTCAATTTCGTCATTGGTATCGCCATATTTTAATAGTAAATCTCTCTGTTGTAATCGAAATATGAATGTTCAATAATGTTAACATGTTATTATTTTTCCACTTTCGTTTTTCTAATGGCGCGTTGAATATACGTTTTATCTGCTCCCACTATAGTAAATAGACTATTAATACATTGTTTTTAAGGAGGTAAGTGGATTTTACCGTAGAAGTGGAAATTGTTATGGACAACTGGAGGTAAGTGAGGTAACTTACCTCCCTAAGGAAAAAAGCAATTTCGAGTTATAAATGCATATTTTATGAACAAATAAATAGAAATATTAGATAAACATTACATTTTGTTAATTATTATGAATGAATATTTATAGCAATTGTACAGTTATTACATTTAATAACATTTATAAAATCTGGATAATTATCCCCCTCGCGTTTACTAATTGTCACATTTCAAAAAGATTTGACCGCTCCATTTCAGTCACGGGAGGCTCAATGATCCATTAAAACAGCATGATGCCACGTACTACTAGAACCTGGTGTCACTGTAAAGAATCCTGTTGGCTATTTCATTTTTGTTACTTAAACTTTCTGCAGTTGTGGCGGATTTCCACGCACCATGTCTATTGATTGCTAATACATTTTAACTCCTGTATTAGCCAGTAACGTTGCCGATGTTCTTCAGAATGAATGGCCTGTATATGTTTCAGGATGTTCTAGTTTCAAAAACTGTA